TAAGTGTTCATCCTCAGTGAGTCACAAGAGTCAGCAGGGCTGCAAGACAGCCCCGGTGTCCCCAGAGCCTGGGGCCATGGTGCTGTCGCTCATGAATAAACACCGGAGGCCCCTGCACACTGAGAGGGTGGCTTTGGGTGCAGTGCTGCTGGGCTCACTGTTGTCAAAGGCACCTCAAAGCAGGGGCGGGCCCCCCAGGCGATGCCTCCCTGGAGGTAGGGCTCCTAAGTCAGGCTCTGCCCTGAAGCAGATCGATTTTGTCAAGTAAACAGTCACTCTGTGGTCTTGGGGAGTTTGCTCAGGCTCTTGAGGGTAGGTCTGGGCAGGGCTGAGCTGCTCTATCAGAACCTTTTAAAAGGAAAGGCCTAGAGGGCCGTGCAGTGAACGGGCAGTGATCTGGGGTCAGAACACCGGCGGTTCACATCAATTGTTCTGTAAGGCACAGCCACCCTGCCAAGTAACAGGGCTATGGGAGATTTAAGGAGGGCATGTGCTCACCCTGAAACCCAAAGGCCTCTGACCTTGCCAGGGCACTAGAGGCCACACCTCAGAAAGCCACCAGGGCCCAGTCAGGGTGGCAGGGACCCCACCCAGGGTCACTCAGCAGGGCTAGAACCCCACCCTGCCACTGACCTCCCCGAAAGTCCCCCTCTGCTTTGCCAAGGTCCCAGCGCCATGGAGGGCCACATCAGTCGGCCAGAAGGTTAACTGTCCCCCGGGAGAGGCTGTCCTCTTACCTTTGTTAGAGTGTCCGCCACACCCACCAGCGGCTGCTTCACAGGGTATTTGGCCATGTCCCATTCAAAGTGGGTCACAAAGGATGTTAAGTCAACTGGAGAAAATAAACACATTTCAACAGATGAGCAGGACTCTGCAGGCCGTGTGAGACCAAGGCTGCCTCACTCAGAGCCAAGCATCACCATGCAAACCAGGGAAGCCATTAGAGCAACCAGAGGACAGACTCAGGGCTCCAGAGGAGTAAACAGTCTCCATGGAAGCAGAGGGCCAGTGGCCAGGACCATTGGCAGCACCTGAAAACCCGCCGAAAACCACACAACCTGCCACAGGGACATTGCGCCAGGTGTGCCCTTGTGCCCTGAACTCTGACGGCTGCCCTGAGATCTGCATCGGGAGATTCTGCTTTCCCAGGAGGTGGAAGCAAAGTTGAGATATTCGGAGGCCAGACTGATTACTTCGTACCATCACACTCCCCTGCTGGGTTGTCGTTCTGTCTCAAGGGATAAGGAGGCACCCAGAGAGCTGCAAGCCGACCCCCAAGACCACCCAGCCAGTCATGGGTGCCACCTGCTCTCAGGACAGCCTCTCCCTGCCTCGCACCAGACAAAGCACTGGATGGGCGATTTCCACACACATGGTCTGTTCTAAAGAAGGCATTTTAGACATTAGCCAAATGCAGGAGCCTGTGAATGGGGTTTTTACTATCTGGTGCAGATGTGCATTTTTCAGTGTATATTCTTTACATAAGAGTTTATAGTCAGTAGAACATATCAGTGTTTTCTCAAAAAATTTCCTTTTTTCTCTTACTTTTCCCTCAGAAAAACCTAAACGGCTGTTGTCAGGGTGCCATGGTTCTCTAAGCAGCTGCGGTGGAGGAAAGGTGCTGAGATGAACTCTGACAAGCACCATCGGGTGCAGTTGGGCTGCTTCAGAGCTGCTGGGCCTGAACTAACTAAACCCTCTGCACCTGCAGCTCCTCACCTGAGCAATGCAGGGGGGGCGGGAGGGGGTCCAGTGCACCTCTGGAGTGCCCACTCTTCAGATTAGCTCCATGCACATTAAAGTGCGCCCCCGGCGCCCCCTGCTGGTTCCACCCTACAGATCACCCCTTCTACTAACTGCAGAGATGGCCACCCCAGCAGGATCTTCCTGTACTGGAGTCTCAGCCCAGGTCATGAGCACACCGGCCTGCTTTCCAGTATCTCCACCTGCAAATGAGAGGGACTCAGAGGCAGCCGCCTTCACTGAGCACCAGCTCGCTGCCAGGGGGGGAAGGGACCACACTCCCTCAAGGAGGCAACCAGACACACGTCACACCTGTGAGCTGGAACCGAAGTCCGCCAAGATGGGGAGCTGCAGGAGGCACCTGACTTCCTGGGAGGACAGGGGGTTGCTGGGACCCTGTATTCATGAAAGGCCTAAGGCAACAGGAGTTTGCCACGTTGCCAGTGAAGGAGGGCGTTGGGTGTGAGGTGACGAGAACAGGTGAACCTCAGGTGTCAGGGCACAAGGAGTCACCAGGACACACTGATGGGACAGGAGGGGCAGGGCAGGGTCGTGAAGGGCTGTGTCTGCACTTTTTCCTATGGTGACTAAGCTACTAGGCCACTACTGAGCCCCCACCTTGTGCCAGGAATTGGACACACATCACTCTAACCCCAACAGAAGTGCTGAAAGTGGTCACCAAGCAGGTCAGGATGGCAGCCTCAGGGGCTGCATGCAGCCAAAGACATTGTGGATAAAACGAGAGTTCCTGTGGCCAGTATTCTCCCCTGGCCCTGGTTGACTAGCTCACTGCACACCTGTGGGCAATACATGGCTATTGACTCTATATAAAGAGCTCCTCCCAGTGCTCTGGGCACAACACGGTGGCAGGGCTGCAAGGCTACAGGAGAACAGAGCAGAGCATGAGGCTGGAGTGGTGGCAGCACCGAGGACAGAGGCCCAGAGGACGGCTGTGCGGACAGAGGGGTCCAGAGGCAGAGATCGGCTTGCTGCCTGCAGACTCGTTCTGAGTGAATGGGATTCTAGTGACTGACCTGCCACCTGGAAATAAAGCTGAGTATATCCCTTTCACCCCAAGAACGTTTTGCTATCAATTTCTTTGGTCACACTGAATCCATAGTGAACTTGCCCAGGGCTGAAACCCATTGGCAAGACAATTGGCAAAAGTTGGCAGGGTTCAGTGTTGACCAAGGAAAAAGACAAGCTGCCCTTATGGAAGGGGTGCTTCAGCGGGCTGCCCCTGTGAATAGGAAAACGATGGATCGTCCCCCAATGGGTATGTGGTCTGAGGTGGCTTGCCTCCTAGAGGACTGGGCCCCACCCCAGGACTGGAGGCAAGTGGAGGTGCCACCTGAGGCTGTAGGAGTGGCCCTTGGTATAAGTAGATCCTTTGAGAAGCAGCGTGCCCGTGAGGCAGTGGGGACTGTGGGCTAGCTGCTTCTCACAGTATTAAAAAGGTCTACAGAAGAGACCCAAGAAAGGGCGGCATGAGAACACGAGCCACAAACCTCTATGGGTCCCTGAGGAAGGAGATGGCCTCGATGCAAGAGGTGGCACGAGAACGTCAGCTGCACAGCATTGAGCTGAAGGTAAGAGAGCTTCTAAAGACTGAGCTGCCATTGCTGTGAGGCACTGTAGCAGAGGAGGCACTCGGGGGAGGGGAGAGAAAGGGAACATCAGCCCCAAAAATGGAGGAGCTGGGGAAGGATGAAGGGGTGGTGCCGGAGGCACTGGCCCCAACTGTATTGAAAGCATGCCCAGTGGTTGTAAAGAAAATAAAGACCCAGCAGCTGAAAGTCCCCCCAGGAGAGGAGCAGCCCCTCCCCAGGTCGGGGGGCACTCTGTGGTCCACCCCTATACTCAGGCTGAGCTGGTGGGTTTGGGCTCCCGGTTTAGGCAGAAGCCCTCGGAGTCAATATCAGCTTGGCTCCTGTGTCTGTGGGACTTGGGGGTGGATGGAATTGTTCTGTTGGGATCAGAGATCGGAACGCTGTCTTCCCTGACAGTGCAGCCCACCTTGAGGCAGCGATTACAAAATGTGAGGTGACACATACAGTAGCTGAAGCAACAAGAACCTGGAAAGAAAGAAGACCTTTACAGGAGGAATTTGAGGGGCCCCGTGTGGGTTACGAGGACCCAGTTGTGGGTTGACTTAATACGGGCAGGAGCAGATGGAAGGAAATTAGATGGGAAGCCAAATAGGATCTTACTGGAGCTATTGCATCAGCTGAAACCAGAGCAGCAGTTCCAGCCATTAAGACCAAAGAGGCAGAGGTCAGACAGAGCCACGAGTCCGGCCTGTGTGTCTGCAGGACTTTTTGCTGGAGAGGCTGGAGAACAATGTTTGAGCTTCCTCGCACAGGGACCATTGCAGAGGACTAAGGGCACATAGACTGAGAGGAGAGAATCCTGGAGGGGTGGAGTGTGGATAAAATGAGAGTTCCTGGGGCCAGGATTCTCCCCTGGCCCTGGCTGACTAGCTCACTGCACACCTGTGGGCAATATATGGCTGTTGACTTTATATAAAGAGCTCCGCCCAGTGCTCTGGGCGTGACACAGTGGCAGGGCCGCAAGGCTGCAGGAGAGCAGAGCAGAGGCTGGAGTGGGGGCAGTGCCGAGGACAGAGGCCCAGAGGACGGCTGTGTGGGACGGCTGTGCAGAGAGGCCCAGAGGACAGCTGCGTGGGATGGCTGTGTGGATAGAGGGGCCCAGAGGCAGAGACCGGCTTGCTGCCTGCAGACTCGCTCTGAGTGAACGGGATTCTAGTGACTGACCTGCCACCTGGAAGTAAAGTTGGGTATAACCCTTTCACCCCAAGAACGTTTTGCTGTCAATTTCTTTGGTCACATTGAATCCATAGTGAACTTGCCCGGGGCTGAAACCCATGGGCAAGGCAGACATTCATGCACTGGGAGTTCCTAGGGCTGGTGTGGAATGGAGGGGGTCTTTGGGGGACAGAACCAGGGGCGAGTGTGGGAGATAAGGCACAGTAAGAGGGACCAGAGCTCTGGGAGCAGAGTGGGGAGGGTTGACTCACAAGGGGACAAGGCCACAGACCATGAGGGAGGCTCAGGGATGCCAGGATTTCCCGGCTGGGTGACTGGCTGGAGGGAGACAGTCATTAGCCAGGCAGCCACAAAAGGGGCAGTGTGGGGTGGGGCAGAGGGTAGAGGAGACACGCTCAGCTCAGGACAGGCTAGGGTTTGACACACAGGTGGGCAAGTCCCCCAAGGGCAGACGGAAGTGCAGTGGGCTCAGAGAAGGGACGTGGCCTGCTGGCAGAGCTGGCAGCACACGGAAGCCCAGAAGGGCCTTAAAATAAGGACAATGCAGCTGCTGATAATAACTGTTAAGGCAGATGGCATTTACAGGTCATTTACCTTAGCCAGGACACATGAATTACTTCACTTAACTGGCAACCCTATTAAATCCTATTATCTCTGTTTTAGAGATGAGGAAACTGGCCCAGCGGAAGTTACTTAACCGGCACCATGAAATGAGACAATGAACGAGAGCACCCGGAGCACCACGCTTCCTTCCCGGCCCCGTCCAAGGGGAGCCCTGCTGCCAGGGCCTGTGTCCCTGGGGGAAGAGGCACCAGGGCTCCATCGCACCCAGGAAAAGCCCAGGTGAGGACACAGCAGAGGAAGCAGCCCTGCCGGCACCCTGATCTCAGACCTCCAGCCGTCAGAACCGTGAGTGAGAAGCGCCTGTTGCTTAGGTGTTTTGTTACGGCAGCCTGAGCAGACCAATGCAGATTTTGGTATTAATCTGGTACTAATATGAATTTGTGTGCCACATATGATGCGCAAATGACTTTGTAGGAAGGGTCCAGGCCTGGGAGGAACTGAATTACCAGCAGGATAACAGCAGGGGGTGTGGTCAGAGGCAGAAGCAGGAGGTCTTGAGGGATCCTCCTGGCGCCACAGCAGTTGTCAGGCCCACTTAGTGAAGCTGTGGGCCAGGCACAGGCAGGCCGCACCCCGAGATGCACATGCCCACGGGCAGGAACCGTCTTGAGTCCTATGGGCCAGCCCCTGGTGGTAGTGCCAGCCAGATCTCTCCCTTCTCCTGCCACCTCTGCCACCTCCGGCACACCACAGGGACACCAGCACCCATGCCAAGCTGCCCTGTCTCTCACTGCTGCTTTTCCTTCAGCATCCAGGCAGAGGCCAGCCCCGGAGAGCCATCCCACCATCCATCCCCTTGCCAGCCTGAGCCCGCGGGCACTTGCCTGCTCCTTTACGACAAGGATGCTGGGTGATCACCCCTGATTCCCTTGCCTTCAGACTCCCTGAGGACAGCTACTGCCTCTGGGCCCCCAGAGCCCATCACAGTGCCCAGCACAGCGCAGGTGCTCGTCCAGGACTCTCCCTGATAACCCCGGTCATTGTACTAACTTGCACCTCTGGGCTACCTAGAAGAGACACATTTCAGACCGAGCTCTTGTTTCCCTGTGTTTCACAAATTCCAAGGCAAGGCATTCAGATAAAAAAGAATGTGTCCCTGTTTCCACTAGAAGAACTCCTGTCATTCCTTTAAGACTCAGCCCACCTCCTTGGGGTTGTCTCCACTGCCATCGCGGCATGTGGACTGCTGTGCATCTGTACCCCAGGCCACAAGTTCTTGGAAGGCATCATCTCTGAATGCCTGGCACCCAGCATAGTGCAGGGCACCCAACAGCAATGTGGGAGTGTCCAGTGAAGGAAGGAGAAAGGGAGGAAGGCAGGGAGGCCACACAGACCTCCCTGCAGAAACCTTAAGAAACCTCTGCTTCGTGAGTGTGACCTCCCCTCCTCCCCCACCTCCGAGCACCAGCTCCAGCTCCAGCCACAGGCCCTTGCCCCAGGTCACACACCCAAGGGCAGCCCTGCCCCCACAGTGCCTTTGGTGAGAACACGGCTCAGGAAGTGCAGTCCCTGGACCCCCCAGCATCCCTGGTGCCGTGTCCCGCCATCTGCCTGCTCAGGAAACAACAGGCCTCTCTCCCCTCCCTTGACTGGAGTCAGAGAAGCCTGGTTTTGGAGGGAGCAATTCAGGTCTTGGATTGATGGCCTGTGAGGTCCCACCCTGACCCAGGCAGGCTCACTGTGAGTCAAAACACACTACACAGGCAGCACCTCTTAGACAACAATGATCTCATCTGAGATTCAAAACAAGGCCTTCCCAGCAGGCAGCAGAACGAAGGACCTGTGGCCACGTGGTCTTCAGCCTGTCACCCAGTCAGCCAGAGGGGCCTTCGGGTGTTTATGACCGCTGCGCACCTCCCAGGGCCCAGGGCAGACAACGGCGTATCTGCTCCACTCCTACTGCGATCAAACGCATCTACATCCTCCCATTCTCAAAGCTCAGCTACACGCAAGGGACATATGAAGACAAAAGATGCCCAGACAAGGCGAAGAGCTTATAAAGGGATTTTAAATCCATTAATGGGTGAGAAGCCCGAGACCCAGACAGGTGACCTGCCAAGGTCACAAAGCATGTTGTCCAGCAGGACCAAGTCTGAGCACTGCGAGGCCGGTGCTGGTGCTCCACACATCGTCACCCTGACTTCCGGGGTGTTCCCTGGAGGACTTCGGAGTAAAATCCCACCTGCTGGGGGCAACACTGAGTTTCTCCAGTTAACCATCAATCATTAGTTCAGGTGGGTACTCTGCAGAAGAAAAAGAGGTCCCCCCAGATAACACGGGGGAAGCCTGAGCCACATGAAGTTTGAAAAGGTCTCTTGCTGCGATACTTTTCAGAACCTTCACTATGCTAGCATTTCTTATGGCTGTTCAGGGTCGGCCCTGGGCGCGGCCCCTTGACCTTTGTTTGCACGAGGCTGGTGCTCAGAACAAGCTTCAGCAGCTCTAGCCTTGGAGGTCATGGGGACCAATTCTCAAGAGGTCTAGAGATAAGGAAACACGTTATACAAACAAACAAAGCTGAATTTCCTCCTCCCGAGAAGAGAGGTGCCATCTGCAGAGGGAATGGAGACGATGGAGTAATTGCATCTAATCTTAAGTGATGTGGATTTTGAGTGGAATGTAAGCATTCTCACTAAAGTAAACAGCACTTCAACGTGAGCTCGAATCCTTGTGCCCTCAAGTCCAGGTTTCTCCGTAGAGAAGAAGGACTCTGCCTCAAGTCTGCTCTTCTCTAGGGCCCTACAAGTAACCTGCTGGGAAATAAGATCCGGCGATCAACTTAAAATAATGTTTTATTAGCTCAGCAGGAATTCTCAGTGTAACAAACAGATTGCTTTTGGGATGGCATTTTGGTAACTTCCCATCTGTAAAGATTTATTTTGGTCCTGAAAGGATTTGCTGGCTTTAATTCTACCAGTTTGAGCAGATTGGACAAAACCCCACAAATGTCTCCTTTGAACACTGAAACTGGGAATGGCCTCCTTGGGCACAGGGACTCCCCAAGGAGGCTCAGGAGAGGAAGGCTCCTTGTATGAATGAACCCCAGCATGGCCACACAAAGCTCAGCCTGGCATTTCAGCTGCCAGCGACTGCAAAACAGCCAGCCTTGAAGAGCAGGCAGGAAGATGTTGGGGACAGCCATCAAGGCAAGGGGCAGACTGCAAACCCGAAGGTGCAGAAGTCTGTCTTGAATTCCACAGCCAAAGCATTCCCCGTTCCAGGAGGCATGTAGCACTGCAGGGGAGATGTGAGAAAACAGCAAAGGAATAAAATAGGTGTTATCTGTGTCATATGGATATAGTGACCAAGCTCCGAGGTTGTCACTTGAGGAATCCATCGTAACCTGATCACTGTACCCCTACAACCAGACTGAGATTCCACCTTCCTAGGGACATGCAGGCATCACACTGAGCAGACACACGGCAAACAGTGCAGAACCTACTCTTTAAACATTTCATTTTCTCCTTCAAACCTGCAATGTAATAAGGTGAAGTTATTCAGCCACATTAACATGCAAAGCCAGGTTCGGTGTTGGCAGTATGAACATTTCCATGTGTCAATTTCAACAAACAAATAAAAGCCTTTCCCAAGAGGGAAAAGCATGAATTTATATATAACAAATGATACAGTAAATATAGGATATATACTCTCATTTTCCATATATATGAATGCATAGAGTGACAGGTTTAATTACCTCTACAGATAATTAAACCTAATAACCTAATTCTTAAGTTTTCAAAGTCTCAAAGTTTCTAGTTTCCAATTAAATACCTAATTCAAAGTTTGTCTTGCCCACTACACGTGCACTTAAATTGTATGTTCACAATGAATGGACCAAAATGTTGTTGGAATCTAGAGATTTATCCTAGCAGCAGGGGAGGCAGAAATTCCAAATTTATGAACATGCTACACAGTGTGTTTTTGGTGTCTATTTACTGGGCAATTTAAGACTTAAGTTTGAGGCATTCCTCAGCACAGAAGGCATTTCTCAACCTTGTTCGGGGAAGGATAAATCGGTTGGGCGTGCTGGAATTTTCCATGCGGGATAGAGTGGAGGCTGACAGGGAAGGAGGGCGGCCCAACCAACCATTAGAGCTCACTGAACCCATCTTCACTTCCAGTTTCACTGAGGAGTTCAGCTGCAGGTGAAATGCCAGATCCTTCAGAAATGTGGCAGCAGGACTATACACTGCCGGGGGCATGCCTGCAAAATAGCAGGGCTGTTGAGCTACAAGCATGTGTAGCCTTAGTCTGACATGTCAATTCAGAGCCTCCATGGGGCCCGTATCGATTCAGCTGCTGTGTGGCCACAGCCAGGGCTCCAGATGGGCTGAGAAAGCACTGGAATAAGAAGACGCTGGTGACCTACCTCCGTTGGCCAGGAGGTTCTCCTGAACCTTCCCCTTTGCGTCTTCCATGACTTCTACCACACTCTGAGCCATTCTCTTTATGAGGCTTTGGGAAGAGAACAAAAGGCCGTTTAGAACAGGGAACTGCCCTCAGAATACTCACAGAATGCTGGGGGGAAAGGGGGTGGGCACCACCCTTGGGGGAAGAATTTGGCAGTGTCCATGAAGAGACTTAAAATGTTAATAGCCTCTGAACCAGTATTTCCACTTCTGGGAAACTATCTTAAGGAAATAGGACAAACAGAAAAAGCTTTCTGAATAAAAAGATGTTCTCCACAGTGCTGTTGCTGACAGCAAAAAAACTGGAAACCACTGGAAAGTTCGACAATAGGGGATTGTTTAAGTAAATGATGGTATATTCAACTGAGGGATTATTAGGCAGCCACTGAAAAGAGAGTTTACAAAGAATTTCTAATACTGTGGAACAAGGCATGTATTATGATGTTACATGGGAAAAAACAAGATAAAAACATATACGGACAGCATGGCTGCAGCTTTGTGAAAATGTTCTTCCAATTTTACACATTTTCTATTATAATCCAATCCTGCTTTTAAAATTACAAAATTGAAACTTTTTAAGCCTCCAGAAAAATATACCAAAGGCTTCAGAAAGTCTGAGAAAACAGGAGCCAGGTAGATGGTTTGGAGGCAGGAGGACTCAGACTCACAGGGCTCCACTGGTCTCCCGGAGCCTCAGTTCTCTTATCTCTAAGATGCGGGTCATACTCATTTTGCAGGATTATTATAAATGTTAATGTAACTAATCAGGCACCAAGCATCCAGTAAGCAGTGTCGCTCCTGGCGGCTGAGCAATTAGAGGTCTAATTGGAAAACATGCCAAGCTAGGACGAAAGTCAGAAAGTTCTGATGAGCCCAGGTTTTGCGTCAGGCCCTCTCCCCGCGCTCTCCCGCCCCAGTGGGGGGACGGTGTCAGCAGGGAGGGTGGTCAGGCCACTGGATTCCAAATGGGGAACACGGGGCCTGGTCTTCTGTTGTCAGGCACTGACCAGGTTGGCCACTCAGCCTGGAGGCCAGGGGGCTTGGGCCAAAACGGAGGCAGGGGAGGGCTCAGGAAGGCCCCAGATAAAAGGAAGAAGGGAAGAGAGGGAGGCGAGAAGCAATTTGTTTCCCTATCAAAGTAATGTGTGTTCATGATCAAAAGCTGAAAAACCGAAGTATAAATACACATTCTGGTATGTTTCTAAAAACTTAACACTCCCATGGTTGATGTGAGTTGAGATTTTCTTTTGCTAACACCTACCATGCGGTGGTGTCTTCCAAGTGCCAAACATTCTTGGATTAAGTGAGATACCAGTCAAATTTCCAAAGATGGGTATTACCAAATTTACAGATGGAGAAACTGAGCCCCAGAGAAGTTGCACCCCCAACCACCCAGTCCAGCTGTGGACTCCAGGGCTCTCGGCCACTGGGCTGCACTGCTGTCTCTGCAGTCCCTGTGGCCCATCCTGGGCTTGAATGTCCACCAATGTGTTAGCAGTTCTTAGCATAGTAGTTCTGCATCCTACTATCATAACTTGGGCAAATTACTTAGCCAGCCTCATCCTGAGTACTTAACTACGAGATGGGGATGACATGGCTCACGTCACAGCTTTTTTGCTCTTCGTAGGGTTTGGGGCAATGCACGGAAAGTGCCAGGTCCCGGGGAGGTTGTGGCTGATCTCAGCTGTGCTCTCCTGTTCTCCGCAGCCTGGGGGACCGGGTCCCTACTCTCTGCCTCTGGCTCAAGGGCACTAGGCAGAACAGAAGTGGTGGAGGGGTGGGGGCGGTGAGACTGGTTGCTTCCCAGTTCCATTAAACTCTTATCAACTCCAGCCGAGGGGCGGCAGCGTCCCTCCATCTGCCTGCCTGGGTTCCCATCCCACCCCTGCTGGTTCTCCTGCTGCCCACGGACAATGGTATTTCCCTTTATAAACGGACTCTCCTCTCTCTTATCTGTTAGGATCCCGACTCAGTACATTCCTTCGTGCATTCATTCACTCATTCAGCAAATTCCATGTTAAGCAACTGTGTGCCAAGCCCTGTTCATAGAGCTAGGAACATAGAAACTGGGAACAAAACAGAGTCCCTGCTCTCAGGGGGCTTTATGCTAATGCTGTCAACGGTTCCTCTCACCATCATTGCAAGGGTACATGTCTCTTATTACTATGTCCTCTGTAATCCTCGAGTAATTCCTTGTTTACATGAAGGGAGTGGTAACTCCAGCCCCCACCATAACACCCGGTGCACAGCCACTGCCCAGGAAATGTTTGTTGAATGAGAAAAGGAACTCTGGCCCTCCGTAGCACCTAAAATAACACACATACTTCCTTCCTAATCGACCTAAAAACAGAATCCAGTCATTCTGTTAATGACTCTTCGCTGCTCACAGTTCTGTCCTCTATGAAGTTAACTATGTCAAGGGTGGCCCTCAGGTGCGTACGCCAGCATGGGACATCTCAGAATAACCTGGTCTGACGACTGCTGGAAAAGTCACTTACTGAACATTAACACAAATGGAACTGACCTAGCTGTGATCATTGACAGTCATCAGTAAACTGTAGTATTACTGAATCACCATTTTTTCTCATTGGAAAGAATCTCATTGTTTGTATGCTGTTCTCAGTTTACTTCTTTCACTTCACAGCTCGAGTGAGCACCCCCTCATATCAGACAAGAGCTCTCTCCTTCCTTGCCTCTATTGCACAGTATATCCTTGCATGGCTGTATCATAACTAATTCTACTAGTGGACATTTGGGTTGTTTCTGCTGTGATAGGATGTTGCAATAATACACGTATTATGCCATTTGTGCAGGTACAGAGGTAGAAGAGATTGTTAAAGAGTAACTAGTGAGCTAAAGGGTGCAACAGACAGGCCAGACTACCCTCCGAATATACAGAGCAGAGCCAGTGTACATTCCTCCCAACAATAGATGAGAAAGCCTGCTTCCCTACACCCTTGCCAACATTAGGTATCACGAATCTTTTATATCTCTGCCAATCTGATAGCTGAAAAATTATATCTCAGTGTTGCTCTGATTTGCATCTCTTTGATCACCAGTGAGGCTGACCATCTTTTCATAGGTTTATTGACTCTAAATGGCTGTTTTCTCTGAATAGTGTATTCATATCCTTTATGGGTTTTACTGACTGACGCATTTATGTTTCAGGGACTCAATTCTTATAGGTAACATCTCCATTTTAAAGATGAAAAATTAAGACTTAGCAAAAGTCACCTATACAGAGTAACAAGTGTCAGAGCAGAAACTGGTCCCAAGTCTACATGACTCCAGAAGCCAAACCCTTCATTGCGCTTCAATGCCCTTCAATGCTGGTCTAAACTAAACCCTGCCTCCTTCCTCTAAAATGCTTGGCAAAAATGTGTTCTGGTCCATAAGGAAAGATCTATAAATCATATTTTTAATTTAAAAAATTGCAAACAGTAGGTAATCTTGATTGCGGTGTTGCTTAAATTGATGTAGCCAACAAAACACATCAGTCTGTTTGCTTAAGACATGTACATTTCACTGTATGTGAATTTAAACATTTTTTTTTTACTGCAGATCCTATATTAACCCAGTGACCAAAGTTAACATCACTAGTAGTGGGAGAGATGGGCAACATGTATCTCCTGATATGATGGGTTGAGAAGATCACGATGTCATTTCTATGGTATTCCTGTCAAAAGTGTGTAACCTGAATACAGTCATGAGGAAACATCAAATGAATTCAAGCGAAGGTGTATTTTACAAAATAACTGGCCTGGACTCAACAGTCAATGTCATAAAGGTCAACGGTAGTCTGAATAACTGTTCCAGTTTAGAGGCTAAAGAGACATGACAATTAATTGTAAGAGCCAGGAAGTCATCTCAATGTTTATCATTTTCTAAGAAAATACGAGATTTTCTTTTGTTATGAAGGACACTGTTGAGATGATTGGTGATAGACAAGTAAAACCAGTAGATTAAATAATGTTATTCCTGATTTTGATCATTGCACTAAGGTTCTCTAAGAGAATGTCCTTGTTTTTAGGAAATGCACTTTAAGGTGTTTAGAAGTAAAGGAATGTCACAACTGAAGCTCACTGTTGGAAGACTTGATAAAAAAGCAAGAGAGAAGAGAAAGTAGATGTGGTAAAGGGAATATGGGAATTGTAATAGTCTCAACTTTTCTGGAACTTTGAAATTAGCTCCAAATAAACTATTTAAAATGTTTAACCATGTACAGTATATAATTCCACTAAAAAATTATATATTAGTGTATACCTAAATGAGAATCCTGAAAGAAAAAATGCCAAGTATTACTGGTTACATGGGACAAGAATAGGGACTTTCCCTTTCTATGTATTTCTGTAATGCATGTTTGAATTAAGACATCATCTTACTTTTGTAAGATGAAAATAAAAGGAGCAAAATAAATAATAAAAAATTAATGAATAATAATTAAATAAAAGAATAATACTAAATAACAATAAACATCATAGCATTATTTACAATAGCCAAAAGATGGAAGCAGTCTGAGTGTCTGTCAATGGAAAAATGGATAAACAAAATGTGACTTATCCACCCATGGCTTTTCCAGCCTTAAAAGAAAGGAAATTCTGACACTACAACATGGATGAAGCTTGATGTCATTATTCTAAGTGAAATAACCAGTCACAAAAAGACACATAGTCTGTGATTCCATTTATATGAAGTACCTAGGGTCAAATTCATAGAAACAGAAAGTAGAGTAGTAGATTCCAGGAGCTGAGGGAGGTGGGAGGAGTTAGTGTGTAATGGGTTAATAGAGTTTCAGTTTTGCAAGATGAAAGAGTTCTGGAGATGGAAGGTAATGATTGCACAACAATGTGAATGTACTTACTGCCACTTAACTATACTTAAAAATGGTTCAAATGGTAATAAGTAGGAGAGAATTCTGTAATGATGAAGGAGTCACAAGCACCAGGAATCTGTCTCCCCACCTAGACAAAAATTGTACTGGCAGAATCTGCCTGATGTAACTATTTTGGAACTCTGGAACTACTGAAGGCTTACAACTTTCCAAGG